GCAATGACCTAGTACGATTCAGAGAAATCTGTGAGAAGAATTCATACTCCTAAGGTCACAAACAATTTGAACGGTTCTTTTACGTCACTAGCTGTTTTGTCGGAAATAGATTACAAGTAGAGGCAAGTATCTATGTGACTACATTTAAAATGGAGCTGAGATTTGGAGAATACATACACGCATATACATAGGCAGACTGATGAAACGTAGACTTCAAAGAAGCTCTTATTCATAACGACGAGAGAGAAAACAATGATTTGTTTAATCAAAAGCTACATTCGACAGATAATGATTGCTTGTTGTTTGGATGTGCATTAATATTAAAAGAGGGTGATAATGTGGTTGGTAACCCATAAGGGACCCTGTTTGATATTCTTGGCTTTCTTGTATTTAGGTTTTGTAGATACTTTGCAGGATGGCACCTGTGGCAATGTGCTAGACATTGATTATCAAAAGTACATTTTTGTGCCCCGGATAGGAATACTCCGCCAACATTTCATTTGACACAAGCCGGTGACATTATTAGCATTGTTGAAGCAAAAGGCAAATCAGAGTCGCCTCCAAAGTATTTTGCCTACTGATGGCTCTTTTGTAAGATGGACCATTAACTTTTAAAACGTATCTCCATCAGCTCTATCAGCTGTTGGATTCTTTAAATGTCTATTAGATGAGATGTAACGTCTGTCACCAGTGGCGAAAGCTTATACCATTTCATGGACTTTTTTCGTCGGTCGTAATATGTGAGTTTTCAATGCTATTCGGCTCTTCAAATCTCACCATGTGGTTATTATTCTTTCCCAAGAAAAATATGGAGCTCCGTAAACAGTTTTGCCATGAAATAGTTTTTCCTAGGTGCATCAAACGTTTGTGGTCAAAGTAACAACTTCACTTTGATATTGGAATCGCTGTTGAAAGATTACAAATGCTCTGATTTTATCTATCTTGCTGTAGCTGACTTCTGTACGATGATACTTGGACCATAAAAATGTAACAAGCTTCTAGCTTGCCACGCATTACGACTAACGACATGACCGTAACAGGTCGTCGTATTTCTTGCAGCGAAAATCCTCCTTTGTGTTCGGTATTATTGGGACAAGCATTTAACTGGGTTATATTGCACCGTTGCGAAACACTGAAAGAACTAGTCTAATGATCCAATGGACAGGCTGTGTCCGGTCTGTTGGACGCTTTCAAACCATCATAGACCCAAGTGCATCAATGTGCTTGATTTTCCATAAGAACGGCAGATGCTAAGTTGCTAAGCATTTTTCGAACCTTTAAAAAGAAGGGCTGCAAGGAGCTTGTACCACAACGTGGTCTAAGTTCGTGTACGTGTTTTGGAAGAAACTGCAGTTTCAAACGCATGACAGTCGTCAATGTCTGGTCAACATATTATCAACTAATTGCAAGTTTGTTAATACAGGGGTCAGGTTAATTAGTAAAGTTAGTTTCTTTGTGTAAAAATCTCATGCCTAAAGTAAGCGACTCATAGCCTACGCACGAAAAACAAATTGGCAAGCACTGTTTGGTCTCTGGGCAAGCACGCCAGATTTAAAACAATGTATTACCCAAAACCATTGAATTACCCGCTATGACAGTTTGTTTACCTGCTAGATGCACGGTAGATTTTTATCCAAGAGACTGAAAGGCTGTGGCTATTAAGGAAGCTGCTAGTCGTCATGAAGTAAACTTAAGTATTAAAATAATGTGCACACATTCTTCCGCTATCTGTAATAGTTTATTTTAGTAAAATAATCTTGTCAACGAGAATCCAGTTTGTTACTCTTAACAAAACTTAAGATAAAGCTTACACCACAAACGTTATCATGTAGAACCATAGGATTGCGAAATATTCCAGGAGTACAGCATAGTTATTACCATCAATAGCAAAAGTAGAAGAAAAAATTGTGCTTTGCTGTTGCAAAACCATGTCAGTTTTTTCGAACGAGGCTTTGTATTGTAAAGGAAAAAAATTAGGACCACAGAAGAAACTTAAACTAGGAGTATATCTACAACTCAAAAAACAAACTCAAGATAGAGGCCAACAGCAAACATGCCAGTAAGACCGTTTAGCCGCCATTTCGTTGGGTGTACCCAGCCAACTGGCGAGGGAAAGCCACGTAGATATCATTCCGAAAGACAATCAGCAATAACGGCATCTAAAGTTTTGCAATCCAATTCGTTTCTTCTGCCGTTTTAGACTTTTGCTACCTTCAGGTTTCCATCACTCAGTTTTGGAGATAGAACAGCGCTCATTTTGGTGGACAGCAACCCGAGATGCATAACACATAACCTATCTTGCTTAGCTTGCAGTTTTAAACGCCTTCTTATAGTGAAGCCACTTGCTTACCAACGTCTCAATCCTTGATTGCCTCATTGGGTATTTTACGGTTTCCACAGAGCCCAGTTATAGTTCTGAGATGCATTTAAGCAAGGATTTGGAGGCGTCTCATCTCCTCACCAAAAACGATCAAGTATATTGGCAATCGAACAGTAGCAACTGCCGTTTAGCCCAGTACGCTGACTTTTCAAGACTCCCCAAAACTCTTTTTTAGTATACAGGTGTAACTAACTAGCAATTGCATTCCTGACCCTCAATGTTCGTTCCCTAACTTTGTCTGCCACATTACATTCAGGGTTAATGCAACTATCGAGATAGTGCAACATTTCTCATCCTTGACTGTTAAACTTCAAATTCGTCGAGGCGTGTTCAAGCATGGATTTGCAATTTGTTAGCGAAAAACACGCCAAAGAACTGTATGACGTCTTTTTGCCTTTACTGTAGAGGTTTTACATTCTACTTTTCCCACAAATGAGAAATGTCCTTCTGCTTAAATCATGTTGACGAAGTACTCTTTGGGAAAAATTTAAACGCCATAAGGTAGTTAGGAGATACTTCAGTAACAAAACTACGCAAACATTTAGAAATCATTCATTCTTTCTGGACATCTGCATGCGCCCGCATGTATGTGCACGCGAACAGTGCTAACTTTTGGAGCTTTGCGTGTAAAAGCATGAGCTAGTCGAGATAATCGAATGCAGTCTGGACGTGTGAAGGTTTGTACGTTTGCCTCAAAGAACAAAAAATAAGCCTTCTATATTGCTGAACAAATTGTAACTAATTGGGGTTCATCTGCACCGTTCAACGATTTCTCTTGATGGTCAGATTCTGAACGCATCATACTAATACAAGATATAGTTGGTTTTCGGAAAGATTGGGCACAAGCAAGAAAAGTCTGTTTAGCAAGCTAATTCACTTCAGATATTGAATGCTGCTATGCAAGAAGAATGTATTTGTTCTTCTTTATGGTAAAGATAGAGCCTCTAAAGCTTCAGGTGCAAAATAAATTAGATAAGACATTAGGAGTAAATAGGGGGATTCGTAGTTACCTAAAACCCAAGACTTTTTGTGCAAAATAGCTTTTTAGGATCCAATTCTTGGCTTTCATGTCAATAGCTCAACTTGCAGAGACATGGAGTTTGCGTACAAGGTTGCGACAGGTGTACAAATAAGGCGAACTTCTTACGACGCAGCACATTTTGGCATTTTGTGCAACCAAAACACCTAAAACCAATACAATCAGGAAGCGACAGACAAAAGTAATAGATATGTCATTTTAATGACACCAGATCAGCTGATTTTGATGACGCATTTCAAAACACTCCTAAAAGTCAGACAAGTAGCGTACCAGTGGATTTTGTGTGGTATGCTCTCAGCTCCTTATAGTGTGAAGCGGCGTAACAATTGAGAATGAAAGTAATGTAGTGCCATTTGATCTGCTGGACATTCGAATGTTTAAGGCTATTGATTATCACTTTCCGCCGCTCAACGATAAATCTATGCGTTTGAAAATTGGTGAACCCTGAAAATAATCTATTGGGCTGGAAGAGAGCCCTATCAGGTGCTTCACTGCAAAATAAGCAAACTCCAAAATAGGATTCTAAACGAAATTCCAGCGTATGCAGGTAGCTAGCAGTGTTGTAACTTTACATTTCGACATCGGTGATAGAAACGTACAATACCTCTAAATGTAAGTGGATAGGTTAAAAAATGAATAACCCGTCGCTAAACCATCCTGACAGCAACGAAAGATAAGTCCATTTTATTGGCACTAGTTCGCGACCTTGTTCAGTGTTTAGAGGGCCCAGGCCGGCTGTGGGCTTGAGTATCTAAGCTTGCTTTATAATCTTGTGAAGAAAATATCTTCCGAAGGTATACCAACTGGCCACACAGAAACATTAGAATATCACACTTGTTGCTACACTGGAAAACACGTACAGAAGAATGCGTACACTCTCGGATACACTTAGATTCGAAGTAACCTTATTTATTTTCGGCTTTATCCGTCTCAGAGGCCATCCCTGATGATATATGAGTCCCCTAGTTAGGCATAGCTGACATTCAATGACTCTTCATAAAGTGACCAAGAAAAAGTTACAACAAATCTTCTATTGATTTTGCTTCTCCATATGCATTGCAACTAATGTGCCAGAGATGTTGTCATATCCCATCTAACTGCGAACTGATGACGCCTCTCTGTATTGTGACGAATCGTTTGCAAATCAGTTACTAATTCCGGTAGACAGATCAGTAGCCACGTGAACAACAACCAATGGATCCACCCAGACTGCCAGTTTTCTAGCGCAACACCAAGTCGTCACCTCGTCCTCGGGTGTAACTGTTGATCCTACTGGATATATTTCCCTATTAGTGTGGATAACTATTCAAATGCGAACAACAGGGGTCCTGATCTCAATCAAATGAAGTTGAACATAAACAGTCACATAGTATCTCCATGCAGTCTGCTCATATGCTAGATAAATTAGTGGAAGACTAAACTGTTCCGTCAATCTTCAAATATTGTTAAACACTACAAAGTTGCATTGAATAATGACAACAGGTCTTAAAGAGTCATTTGCGAAATAAACTAAACAAGAAACTCTTTCAAAGTTTCATTATTACACAGTGTAAAAAGCTGTTGCATTTATTGCATACTTACTGTTGTATTACAAGATGCGTCGCGCGTAGATGAATGCTCACTACCGTCCTGTATGAAACGGCGTAAGAAGTTCCGTGTGTTCGGGGGAAGGATGAGATTTTTTCCTTCGGCAGCCCCGAGGTTTTCTACTGATGAATCCAGTGCATATAACAACCCCTGAATTTGAGCCTCGGAATTTGACGTTCTTATTATTGGTTTGATTTTTGCGTTCACGTCACTGGAGGACAGTTTTCTGTTGCCACGAAGGTCATTATAGAATGAGTCCTCCAGTCCTAAGTTTGTTTTACCGTTGTGAACCCCGTTCATATGTGCTGCATATGTTCTTATAACATTAGCGTCAGGACTTGTATTTTCGCTAGCTGCTAACGTTCACTTTTAACAATATGGAGTGACGTACCACGAATAATCTCATCCATATCCCGCAGAGCTGAGGCCAGTATGTCACTGGCCAGTCTGTTCTCCATTTAAAAATGACGGGCATTAAATCCAGGACAAATGACGTAACCCGGGATACTGAGTCACGTTAAAGCAAAAATATTTCATATTCCCGCCATGGAAAGTTCAACTAATACGGCCTTTCAAGGACAGTTCAGGTCGCCACGTTCTGTCAGGGCCAGAAGGGTCTAAGTTGTTTCGGTGGACGACAAAATTTGTCTGCCTCCTACAAAAAAAGTCGCATTGTCATCAAAATGTCATAGGTAGGTATTCAAAGCCAAGCATTTTTAAATTTCAAAACCCATCTAGTCGGGCTTTTGATTGTTGAACAAGGGCATTGCCCAACACGCGAGGTAGCTAAAGGATTGTAAACTCAGATTGTAAGAGGTAGCGGTCAGGAACAGACTCGTAAGTTAGCTGAAAGGAGGTATAATGGTCTTGGTTTCTACGGTGCTGGGTAGAAGAGTATTGAGGAGAGTATTATGTGAACCTGAATGTGGGTTTACCGCACAATCGTCGTGCTTGTCTTTTAAAGCATTGCGCGCGGTGAGAATTCGCGGCCAAACTTCTATTGGATAATCCTCAGGGGAGGTAACCTCGACCTTCCCGGTAATATGATGGCAAATCTTGTGCCCACTTCCTCACAGAGGTGCACTTTGTAAAAGGTTTCTTCTCAATTATTGCAGAAACCGTTCGTTGTTCCCGTGTGCATAAAAGGATCGATTGCGGACCCAATGATTGGGAGTTATTCGAACGTCCTTGAAAAGAGCTTGCTACCCGCTTTCGCACCAGCAAATGTTTTTGCGCATATTGGGCTCATTTGTGTGCACATTTTCCAACATCCTTGGTAATAGTATGTCATAAAATTTTACGTTAGAGCACCATCTGGAATCGCCTATTAATAATACAATCCTGATTCGGCCACACAGCGAAGGGGTGCACAGAATGGATTACTTCCTGAAGTTGGTTGAGTTTATAGGCTTGCGCTTTTGGAGCATTCCGCAAGTATTATTCAACGTGCCAACACGTCTTCCATTTTAGCGTAATGTTAACACTGGCAATGTTAATACATTACCAGATGCTGTCCGCCAGCTGCAGGCGGACAGTGTGGTAGCGCCCGCAATTCTTCTCCCAAGTAAGCCCGTTGATGGGTCCACCTTCTGTACAGGAAGAAAGCACTGTCGAAACGTCTTTTATCCGGCATACGGCTGCACTTTTCTGGCGAAATTGGAAAGGTTTGCAAACGACACGGAATAAAAGTCCATGCCTCCATCCATTCTATGCGTACCGGAAGTCTCGTTTGCTTCCACCTGCAATTCAGCGTCATTAGCTCATGTGGATTGTGTGTGCGTCTCCATTATGGGCCTATGACCCAGTGATTCAACAACTGTGTTTTGTTTGGACGCATAAGTCTAATTGTGCGTTACGTGGATACAATTACTACCTAGGGGGGCTCATTGTGGACGCCACAAGACTAATTCACCAAATTCTACTGTAAAGTGGCCCAAATCCACAAATAAATTTAGAAATGAAACAAGTCAACTTCATTGACGGGAAAGTAAACGGGTGGAGTACATTGTTTACTGAATTCTGTGAACTGACCAAAAACGTGAGGATCTTCGAAGGACAAGAATAACGACGCCGTAAGACAATGTGGGACGCAACACGTGAGGACTTTAGTGAGAAGGTGTACTCTTCAGCAACATGAGAGCATCTTGAAAGTGTGCCTTTCTTAGAATTTCATCGTCAAGTTTTCCAAAAATTCAAGGAGAATACATCTGCTCGTAATAGGGGTTAGCTGATGGGAATAAGCCGATCCAAGTACAGTGCTGGACCAATAAACACGGGGTTTCAGGGCTGGAAGATTACTTCATTCCCACAATGTGTCGACCGCGGTCCCCCGCTTCATTGAGATTCTCTCCCGATGCCACGCTTTATTTGCAGTATTTCGTTTCGGCAATGCGCGACAAATTTTGGGACGTCATCGTTCATTTTAACGGACGACTAAGCATATTGCATACTGTTTTGTCCAACGAGACTATGGAAACACCTCTGCAGAAAAACTATATCTTTCATTGTTATAGGCAAAAGTGACGTATATGGGTAACACAAATATATGGAACTCCATCCATTTGCGTTTCTAAATGAAACACGATTCTTTGGAATTAAAGTATGATAAGGTCTTTATGCGTTATACTCTCTCGACCACCCGTCCGTGGTCACCCATAAGAGAGACTAGTAACTTCAAGTCATAGGGTGTATTATGCTACGTAGTAGTGAACCAAAAGAACCGGTTAAACCTTGTTACAAAAGCGTTCTAAATGAATTAATTCATCCTCATTCGTTGCAAACCACGATGCCCACAGATTGGGCACTTTCAACATTAAAAAATTTTGTGCTGCCCGGTACCGGCGGATCACTTCAAACACAAGCTTTATTTTTTGTGGTGCCTGCTCTACCCAAGGACGTGAGAGTTCTGTTCTCAACCTGCGGTTGTATGCTTTTTGTTTTCGTATCGTGGTCCTGAGAGTTGGTAGACAGAGAGCGCATGGACTTTAATGACTGGCAAATTCAGCAGCTCTCTGTATATCACCTATCAAATACCCAGTTGTCAATATCTTATGAGATCAGTCTAACTTGTCTCGGTGCTGATCAGACTTACCGAATTTCCTATTGTTCGTCCGTGCAGATAGTTCAACCAAACAAGTATACGCAGTCGTACAAACACTGTGTACATAGAATCCTGATTCTCTTGACCAGTTTGAGTCACATCTAACCACTAGATCCGCCCATCCAATCAGAGCTACGTGGATTATCTAACTACCCTGGGGGCGTAAATGCAAGTGCACCGAATTCGACTGCTATATCCCCGCCCGCAACGCCCAAGATTGAGTTTCCTTAGGAGAAGATGGGTGGAATACCTCAGAAGCATGTGATTTTGCATAATAGCCATGCTGTGTCCCACAACTTTGAAGGGATAATAATAATAATAATAATATTTATTCCCAACTAGTGGGTAGCATACCGTCGGGCATGATCATAGCATTACAGTCAGAATAAAGGCGTGACTGGTGGGGTTTGTGTTTAATGGGAAAAGGGAAAGTGACGTAAACAGTAAACCTTATTGGAGAAGAGTTTATCACACCTGAGGTGGCATGGGTAGGAATCCAAAATTGCAAGGTCTCTTTATGTCTCTTTATGGTAGTGGTCTGGCTACCCAATAAGTTAGTTTACCAGGAGTGTGTGGCAAACAATCGGTGAAATACGTAGTGTTATAATGGAAGTAAAATAAAGGTACAAAACGCCACAGGATGCTGCTTCCAAGTGAAATCATTTATCAGAGATGGCCTTCTATCTCATCTTCTGCGACCTATTATCGTGACTGCAAAAGATGCGCAACAAAACCTACCTTACCTAGGTTTCTTTGATCCACGGACCCACAATAATCCACGAGTTATACTTGATTTCGTACAACTGCAATCCCTAGCTTCGCTCAGCCCAACTACGTGTATTTCTCGAAAACAGTCCGATTTGGGTTCAAGTAGATCATAAGGTTGACGAAAACTCGTGAACTGTGCCTAACTGATGAGCCCCAAGAAGGGTGAAACTGATCGTGGGCAGTAGAAGAGTTTTCAGAAAACTTGTGTGCACTTTCTTCTATGACAAGTTCAAGTTATTTATACGCACTCTGTATAATTTACCACTATTCGCACTATTATTAATGCACCATCACTATCATTTTCTCCCGTTCAAAGACGAGAGCCGCTCAGCGCCAACCCATGGGAAGCATCAGTGAAATTGGCGTCGCATGCGGCGTTCAAAGACTAACGACGCATGCTTTGAATCTAGGCACAACAACATCAGATGTCATCCACATTTTTACTCCAGGAACTTCGTTGTGTTTCTTTTCCGTCTAATCTACATCGTCAAAAATTACTGATCTGAAGACATTGTGGTTTGATCTGAGCGTCATCAGTTGGAATGCAGGCATGAGAGTATGCTGCGCGCTAATGAGCTTCGTGTAATTATGCCATTCATGTCAAAGACTAATTTGTTAATTTGAGTTTGGGTATACTGCGAGCTTACCAACGATCACCTCTGTGCGACTTTCGTTGCACTCTAATAGAGTGGATTTAATAAGTGTCATTATTATTCTGGAACGAAGAAAAACGCCGACAGTGTTATTGTTTTAATACCGTCTTTGTCGTCAAATCAATGCCAGAAAGTTAAATGAAGGTAGCATCCCCTGGTGAGCATACAAAATCTGTAGTGTTTTACCAGGTAAACAACACTTTTTGCTCATTTGGGAGTACGCAAAAAGCCTAATAACCTGAGTGATGGTGTGGGACGGCAGTTTGAGAACAGCCTTCTCCACAAATCGTCACATAAACAAATAACACCTTTTCCCCACCACACAAACTATGAGGGGCCAGTTTTCTGAACAAGTTACAATTTCAAAATTTGCACATTTAGTCGTTGGACTAAGCAGACATAATTTACCATAATGGCTTTGATCTTAGCTTCGGCAAAAGTACCCCATTAGGACGGCGTTATGCTACGCCTTGGTCCGTGCTGATCTCTATCTACCACAGCATAATTTTGTCACTGCAGAAAATAATGTGAGTTGGCGATTTTTTTCAAAGGCCCCCTATGGTTGAGCATTACAGTCACTTCACAAATAAAACCAGATCTCCAATACTCTGGTATGAGTCACTTGGTGGACAACTGGAACGAGGCAAAACACCAGAGGCTCACTCATTGACTTTATCGCGACATTCAGTTGAAGGAATTTATCGTTTGAGCAGGCCTGGTTTTTGCAAAAATACAAAAAAACTATAGTTCTCTTAACTTAGAGTAAAACAGCTTTGGGGTGCTCCTGTTAAAAAGATCTTCGCCTCCGCCCGTGCATGTCCTTTTGAGTTCTTCCGCGAAACGTTGTACTGGCAAAACGATGAAGCAGTTTCCCGCGGAAGTTGATTTCTGACGATCCTTCTATGTGTCTGGGTAGCATTGATTTATTGAAGTTATGTTGTTCCTAGAAGGACTGTTTTGGAATGATAAAAGCAGTCAGTTCGTGGCCTAGATGTTGGTCCTCAGAAGTTTCAACGTTTCCCTCTGTGCGCGCCTTAACCACTTACGCACATACTAGCCTCACTGCTTGTAGTGTAACTGACTTGTTGCGTTTAGGCTTAATTGATGGCCAGAAAATTCTTTTGGAGAAACCAGTGGACAAAAAAACAGCTGATGTAATGTAAGCAGTATTTTTAATTGCACAAAAATGGTTTAAATAAGCTGAAGCATTTCAAGGATCCAGAACCGTTAGCGCAGCTGATAGAATTTCCGGTGTCAACCACTCTGCGGCGAAAGTCGCAGTTGAAGTTTAAAATGGGCTGCTGAGATTCCATCAGTAACTCGTAAAACTCATTTCATGACCTTGCCTCTCACGCAAGCTAGCTAGTGACGGAATTAGTATGGCAAGTCGTTTGCCGCAATAGTTGCTTTCTGACGGACTCCAGTAGAACGACATAAAATTAGCGAAAACTCTGGAGAAGAATGGAGACAAGAGAGGTTTTCTACGCAGAACGTGAAGAATTTGAAAGCGGCTTTCTTTTACCTATCCTCAAACAAGCTGTTTGGTAATAAGCCAACAAAGTCGCCGATTGGTAGCCGACAAATTTAAATGAGCTCTTTGAAAATACAATGTCCTCAGAATTATCATGTCATATTTAAAAATTCCCATATCAAATGCATTTTTCCGTGATTTCTTCACACATTCAACGTTTTCAATTAACTGGATTTGTTACAGTCTACAATACTCTCTATGACGCGGAATAAGAGGACTACTCTATTGTCTAAATTTGCCATCCACCCCCTGGCTCGGCGAGCGGATGTGGACGCTTGCGTAACTCGAGAGGTTTCATTCCGCCTGATCACCCTGAAGATGCACTTCTTAGTTTTCGATTATGCACGCAAAATTTGCAAGGCATACTACTTTCAGCACACAAGTTTTTCTGACAGCATTCCGTTGAATGAGTGAAATGCGAAGTGTCATAAGATGTGTATGGTCTATGACTGTAGGTTGAGTTTTTTTAAGACCAACTTAACTTTCTTAGAATCAATAAAGTAGTATTAACTGGCAGTAAAGTTCTGCAATACAAATGATGAATGATAACAGGTTTTCCGAAATTGGCCTCGGAAAGTTGCCGGATTGATTGTGGCTAAAGATGTATATCGTGAGCTTCTACCACTAGCCTGAAACGCTCGAGTAAAAATAAGCAAAAGCCTGTATATATCGGTTTTAATTTCTGATTGTTTGTATAATACAGCTGAATGATCCCAAAGGGCTTGCTCAAAATGCGTGTGCACCAGGCGGAAAACCTTCTTATGTGCCTCACTTGTAATGTTTTCGCCTGCAGCTTTCGAACCTCAGCGGTCTTATCTTGTCTCAACTTATATGTTTCCTCCAAGAAAGGAAGAGTCCTTGTAATTTTGGTTCCTTACCCATACGGCCTCGGGCGTTACCAAGCCTTCTTCGGATAGTGTCCGCTGTTTATGCTGCCGTCCGTGAAATCCCCAGTACCCACAAACCACACCAATCAAGCTCTCATTCTGAATGCAACGTGGTGATCACGCCTGAGGGTAATCCACCCACCGGTGGGGAATAAACCATATTGATATAGTACACAATGTCCAGTCAGCGGGAAAAATACAAATTACGATTGTCACATAGACACACCCAAACTTTCTCCAAAACCACGGTTCGTGGGAGAGAAACTTAAACACAAATTTTAAAATCTCACCGTGCAGCTGCAGTTTTGTTGGAAGTTGTCTCAACGTGGTCAAAGCACAATGTGGGCACATTCTTTGTAGTTTAATGGCCACCAATGGCTCCATATATCGTGTCCGTAAATACAGTGGAAAGTATTTCATAAAAAGCTGATTTATTAATATGCTTTCGTCTGTATTGATTTAAAAATAACTTCAAGATTATATGAAAAATAATTGCGTCCTCTGTGTTCGCGACCTTTTAGGGAGAAGTCTTCTGACGCATCGCCAACTATAGCCAAGGATTTCGTCGTATTTAGTAAGTTTTTCTGTTTTTATGCCAGTCAGCACACGCTATATAGGGCATACGACAAGTTTCTGACTGCAAGGGTTTATCGAAACTGTGATAAAGCCGCTGGATAAATTAGTAAATTTATAGGCAGAACAAGTAGAAAACATCATTAGGCACCCATGCTGTTGAGTCCTTGGACAAGAGTATGACGATGCGTGAGGTTTCGCACCTGATTGGAAAGGCCGTTCCGGATACGAGCGTAGTAAACTATAAGGAATTAGTGGCGTAGGTCTGTACGAACTAGGTGACAAAATAAGATGTTGCAGGACTTACGGAATATGTGGGGATTCGTGAGTTAGCATCTGGTTTAGCCTTTGCTTTAAAGACGTTTTATTCAACAGAAGGTGTAAGAAAGTCAGATTTATCTTAAACCGTCTTAACCACGGTTGCTCGAGGCTCGACGCTTCTTCCCCTGGTCAGCAAAATTTCGGTCCTCCCGCTGCATACCCTGGAGCCGATTCGTACTTTCTGCACTATCCGGAGCTAAATATGCCTGGAGCATTCGGTAACTCGGTCCTTGCGATAGAGAGCCGTCGAGCTCTCACTCCAAAAGACGTCCATTCGTCCGCTGTAGGCCCAGCTGGCTACTTACCACCATACAGTGCTACATCTGGTGGACACATACCGTCTAACTGTGGAATGCCACTCTCTTCTCCGGGAAGTGGTTCTGTTGCGCACCCGTACATGTTCTCCCCAGATATGTCTGGTTCTTGCTGCAAAATGGCACCCGGATTGCGGCCGTCACAGGCTGGTTCCTGTACACATGACTTAACTTCAGCTAGCTTGGCCAGCCTTGCTCGTCTATCCCAGCTATCCGGATCAGAGCCCGTACGTCCCGTCTTCGGCTGCGGTAGGTAACTCACTTGGTACAATGTCTGGCTCCAGAAATTATGGTAGTCGGGCTGGGTTGCATCATCCGGACAACGTGGTGGTTATGAGTGGCTCGCACCAGCCGATACCACCGCAAGCAGTGCGAAAGCTTCCTCGACCCGTTCCAATGGGACGGAAGTTTCATGATTCTGAACTGCCACCTGGTGCGCCTTCCCTGTATACCAAATTCGCTACTCAAAGCCTCCACGGACCTACTCAGCAGCAACATTCCGGAGACAGGATTAGACCATAGGGACAGCTTTTTCGTGAATGCGCGCTAAGCGCTTCTAATTGCGAGTCAGCAACTTTGAGTGTGAAATGACGGCAATGTGAGGCCGAATTACATGGTTGGTTGCACGCACAACTTGAAAATTGTCTGAGAGGTGACTGGGGCGCAGTATTTAGAAACTGAGCCTGCGTGCTCTGGTACCTTGAAACTGTACCTGATTGGAAAAGCTAAAAGTACAAGAGTATCTGGGGCTAAGCTCCGTGGAGTGAGTAATAGGATGTTCACTATTGTGAAGGCGTCAGCCGGGAGGGAGCAGTGGCAGGATTTCGTGAAAAAGAAACTCAGGCCCGCGTAGTTTGACCAGCGAGTCATTGAATCTAAGTCTCGCCTAATCTGGTGAAAGGTAGGGGCCTGTGCAGGAAGGAATGTGTACGCGATTTATATACCTTCTTCGGGAGAGAAAATCTTACCATAGGATATGGCGCCGAGGACGTCTTTGATGTGTAGCAAGAGGAGGATAGGGCTTAGTACGCTCCCGTGAATTACTCCACCGGTGATCATAGTGAGAATGGTTGCATGCCCCCGACTTGCATTATTTGCGTCCTGTTAAATAGGTAGGGGGCGAACTATTGAAATGAGTTTCCAGTGATGCCAATGATACTAGGTTTATTAGAAGGATGCATGTGGGACCTGCCAAAGGCTTTTTGAATATCCAGGTTGACAGTTACAGCGGAGCATCCAGCGTTGTATGCTGCAGTGATGGTCTCAAAGTAGTGAAGATGGCGGCTATTAACGGATCTTTGCAACAGAAATCCATACTGCTGGTCATCTGTGGCATTAGTAGCCAGGAGGAACTTGTTTATTAGATTTCTGACCAGGCGTTCAGGGGTTCTCAATAAGGAGGTATGGCGGCTATTGATCTTTGCAACAGAAATCCATACTGCTGGTCATCTGTGGCATTAGTAGCCAGGAGGAACTTGTTTATTAGATTTCTGACCAGGCGTTCAGGGGTTCTCAATAAGGAGGTATGGTGGATTCCCCTGTAGTTAGCGGGAGCTTGTCTGAATTTGGATTTTAACCGCGGTTGGATTATAGATGTCTCCTACTTGGAGGGGATGATTCCATAGTTTATAGAGCGAGTAAAGAATAAGTACAAGAATTCCAATATCTTGACCGCTTGTCTCAAAACACGGGGTGGAAGCCCGTTGGCCCCCGACACAACAGAATCCTTGATCTTTAGAAGAAGGGAAGAAACATCGGCCAGGGAAACGGTCACGTTACTTAGGGTCAATTGAATACCCTGATCAATAGGGGTTTGTATATATACAGCAGCGTGTATGGGTTTGGAGTCGAGAGGAGTGGGTAAGTGGCAGCCGGAGAGGTATGAGTTTCTATGGTCTGTTATATTGACAGCATCGGTGAAACGCGAACATGCTATTGAGCAGCTGTTTGGGATGCCGTGTGTACGGAACAGTCGGATGAGTAACTTGGAATATAAGGGAGCTTTGGGGATGGTAATCTTTTCTCCACTTTTCAGAGACACTCAAGAACTCTCGGTCAGTGGAGAGCATATTGATGAAAATTAGTGGTGAGAAATCCCGAGAATTCCGGTATTCTCTGATAGCCCGGTGTTAATAACTTATCGTGGTCGGGTATTTGGAGTGAAAACATTTTACAGGAGAAACGAGTTAAAGAGCAGTTAATGGCTTTGGTGAAAGATTTCACGGACGCGGTGTGCATTTGTCAACAGGAAGAACTCGTCGCAATCCTGGACAGCCATAGTGGACGAAAAAGCTCGTAAAATGTACAGAATGGGGGCGAAACAGCGGTGGACTCAGGGAACAGCTTGGTCGTAACTGACTGCTCTGCAAGAAAGGACGCAGTGGTAACCTCCTGGGAAGCGCGGATTAACAGCAGCTGTAGCCAAATGGCCATAGCTGGAAAATAATATGTACAGGGTATGTAAGCCACGAGTAGGGCTACATAAAATTTGGGGTCAACCCTCCACGCTAAGCTAGGCTATCAGCGCGGCATAACGGCTTGGGCCCGTAGTGACAGATCAGGAAATACCCAGCAGGTTAAAGTCACCCAGCAGAACTTTGGACGAATGAGGAAGGGCATTTGCAGTGAAGATAATACGGGAAAGGTCAGCAGTAGAGTCGGGAGGGGGTGTTGATAAATAGATACAGCCTACTAGAACGAGTCGTGAAGATAAACGGGAAAGGTCAGCAGTAGAGTCGGGAGGGGGTGTTGATAAATAGATACAGCCTACTAGAACGAGTCGTTTGGTCTATTCTCTAGATACCAGGTGGTCTCTATGTCTCTTTCAATGAAGAATCAACAAAGGAGGCGCAGGGGGTTCTGATTTGGAACAGATGGCACAGCCGCCGCCTCTTGGGGTTTTCCTATCAGAGTGGCGAATATCATAGCCAGTGGCTAGATTTCCGTGTCAGAAGTTTCACCCGTGAGCCATGTTTCAATCCCGCAGATCATACTTGGTTGTGCAATCGTGCCTATTGCTCGGAGGTTATGGGTTTCGGGCAATTACGAGCGGGCATTGAACAACATTTTTGACAAGCTCATTGATGAGCGAAACGGTAATAATAATAACAGCAATAAGGTCTATTCCCAACTTGTGGGTTGGTTGCCGTCTGGCATGATCGTTTCTTTCTCTTCGTTCCTCTTCCCAAGCTTCAGTCCTCGACCGCAGTTGCCCAAACGCCTCTCAGAACTGTTATTCATTCAAACTGGCTGGTGCTCGGTCTACACTCACACGGTCCTCCAACAAAAGGAAAATTGTCCGTGAGCCTACATCTGTATGACTCCGTGTCAATCTCCGTCTCACCACGGAACTGCGTATCCCTTCTCCGACCCTTGACGACCGTCACGCGGTTGTCCATAAACCGAAGCATGTCAGTGCGATGATGGCATGGCACTGTCATACCCAGTGAGATGGCACTCCCGCAACTATTCTCTCCAGAAGCTCGACCGCAACCCCTCGCCCGCTCATGCCTGTGGCCACAACTTCGAGCAGTTCCCATCCGGCCACGTCTCTGGGATGAACTCTTCCGTACCCAATAAATTTTCGCTCAGATTTGGCTAGCCTGGCTTTCCTACTGTAATTTCGACTTGCCCGTTGCACAAGTTCAAATCCCGTATACGAGTTCAGGTCGCCCTAGGTATTAGCAACCTGTCCCCGTCCAACCTACTCCCCTGCACCTGACATCCCTACAACACTGCAACCCGGGAGCCTGCATGCTTTCAGATTGAACCACATTTTTGAGACAAAACTTGACATGTGCTCCCAATTTGAATCAACCCACCGCCATCTCCACTGTTGACCGTTGTGACTCCGGCCAATAACCTGACCGCCCAAGGTCACTCATGGCCAGCAATGGTTTTCGGTTTTAGTTCATGCCACTTGACTGTTTTTGATCTAGTCGAACCTCATGTCCGTTTTTCCCAAAATTTGGGAGATAACCTATTATTGCTATATCATCAGGAGTTCCCCACTGTTTGTGACATTGTCCTCCTTTTGTGCAATCCGTACCCCCAAAAATCCCTCAGTCATGCTCAATTCTGACTGTAAAACTATGATCATGCCAGACGGTATGCCACTCACAAGGTGGGAATAAACATTACTATAATAA